AAACAAACAAACAAATGTAGATACCGTTTTACATAGACCCCTGGATCTTAACCCTCGGCCGTACACGCAAATTCGTACCCCCACCGTGGTACAGTGGGGAGGGGGGGGTGGATCAAATTTATTCCAAAACGAAACGTTCCATTTACTTATCTTAGAGCCTGTCTTATATGAGGTGAGTCAGCTCGGTAAGCCAGGCTGACCCTCTTTACCAGGCTGGCTCGGCTCATGCCCCGTTTCCTCTTAAAATGTCCGGTTGTGCTTTATATGAGAGAGCGGGGTGGCACGCTTGCCTAGTTGTCACGCAACCGGGCCCGTCAAGCGCGCCACCCCACCTTCTCATATAAACACAACCTACTACAATTTTAAGAGCAAACAAGACATGAACCGAGCGAGCCGGTAAGGCATCAGTCAGCTCTGCTAACCGGGATGGCTCACCTCATATAAACAGGCCCTCTGAGATGAACGGGTGCGCACGCCTTCGCTAAAATGGCCAACACTTGGGCTTTCAATGAAAGATTTTTTAAAAAGCGATATTGCCATTACGCCTATTACACCACCTAGAAGGCATTTTAAATCATACCATTCCCTGGACATCGGTAGCCTCGTATTAGTGTACAGATGATTGAACAAACAAAACGGGAAATAATATTTCCAAATCTATTCAGGTTAGCATAGACCGCAGGCATAGACTGTAGCCCCAGAAAATTAAAGGGGGAAGAAATAAATATATTAAACACATTTACCAAACAAACAAAGAGGACTGGCGCCACAAAGGTCCAGACCAAACTATTAGAGAAGGAAACCCAACAGCTGTGAATAAAATAGAAGACAAAGAAGAATTTTTGGAATTGATTACTTTAAAAGAAATGTTCATGAAAAGAAAGATGCACGTTTCACAAAATACTTACAAATCACTGTGAACGTAGCTCGTTATGCCTTCATTTGTGATGTGCGCGAAAACAAGCGACAACAGGGCCACAACACACGGGAATCCTAAAGAAAGGAGGTGTGTGCTTTCACTAGCTGACACATTAAAAGATTGATGTTGAGGCCTCAAATGTAATAAATGACCCTGAATGTAAAAAAAGGTCAATCTACGTGTAATATATTTTGGCCCTAAATGTAATGAAAGTTCCAACAGTAATACTTATGAAATGACTCCTGCGTTCAAACCTATCACAATATAATATTCACTGACCCTAAACTTGATTAAGTCACAGAGACTGGAACATGCAACGGGCCGATGGGATAATTCCATAGCTACGCGATTCACTTTCCACGCCATATTGAAATCTTTATAGACAGGGTGTATAATGGGCAATGTGAAAAAGGTAAATTTACCATTTTCACATTGCCCATTATACACCTTGTTTATCTTCGAACATTTTGCATAAAAATTCTTTCCAGTTTCTCCTGGGTATTACAGGTTTTCCAAGGGAGACTGAAAAAACAAGGCTTAGGCATCAGTAAACTTAGTTTTGGGCAGTAAACAACGTGTAATTTTTGGGCAACGTGAAAAGAAGTTAGACTGGGGATGGTTGGGCGGCTGTGTTACCATTTTTATGTCTTGAGTAGTCATTGTGCTCTACGTTCGTGCTCTACGTTATAAGATGGGATATTTTAACAAATGGGGAAGAAAGGTCTTATTTGGGCGAAAAAAGTAGCTGAATACCAGAGGATTTTAAAGGATGATCACGAAGAAGTACTAAAGTACAGATCTCCTTTTTATAGTTAATTGTATTTTAAACACTCAAGCCTCGTTATCATAGTAACCAAGCTTTTATACGCCCAGGACTTTTATTACATTAACGTCGAAAAGGTATTAATTACACTTAATTCCCTCATTTAGGGTCATTTATTACATTTGAGGCCTCAACTGCGCCCGCGAGAAATCAATCGAATACCATAAAGTAGATGATTTTACGTACCCCAAGAAAATGCGTAGAATACCCTCATCTTGACAAATGTGTTGAACACTTTTACAACCATTAGATATAGATAGATCCCTTCCATTAACATCCACGCAAAGCCAGCCAAATAAAAGTAGTGGATTGATGCCGCAACAAAGATGCAGACTTTCTATTGAAGCAAAATCATTAAAAAGAGTGAGGAGTCGATTACGGTGCATAAACAACGTTTCACAATAAGTACAAATATCTCAGAAAGTAATAACTGATGTTTGCAGGTCTACCACCACCACCACCACCACCACCTCCACCTCCACCTCCACCACCATCATCATCATCACCAGCGGCATTATCATAAGCATCTTCAACATCATCAGCATCATCATCATCACCATCATCATCATCATCATCATCATCATCATCATCATCATCATCATCATCATCATCATCACCACCATCATCATCATTATCATCATCATCATCATCATTCGTGGCTACCTATTCTAACCAAACAATGTAAAACAAACAAACAAAGAGAAAGCATTATTAGTTATCATAAAATACCTGCAGAGAAGTAGCATCAATTCCTGTTAGAAATAGGATTTGTGCAATAGCTATTGAAATGACAAGGTTAAGCCGTATTTGACATTGTTCTTGCTTGAAATTCCTGAAAAAAAAATAGGAAACTTCGGTCCACAGATTCCGTGATAGCAGAGGTCTCTCACGACGAGGTAAAAATGAGAGGAAGGAGAGAGACTTCTGAGGTCCCTCTCCTTCCTCTCATTTTTGTCTCGTCGTGAGAGACCTCTGTTAACAGGGAAGTTCACAGACCGCCTTTCAAATTGTATTGCTCTGCAGTTTGTCATTGTAACTTTGTTTATAGTTAAGTTAGAAGTAATTACAAACACTCACTCAATTCCAGATATTTTGGGTCACAAATATTCAAGATAACTCTTGTGGCATTTATACTTTGACAATTGACTGGCCAGCAAAGGGATAAATTTTGTTCCGTTTTGACATTTAGCCATAGCCATAGTCAAAGCCAAATTATGGAGTCAAATCAAACAATTCTGGGGGAAAAAAGTGGAAAAGTACAAGACACAGAGAAGGCATGGGTCCATTATGCTGCCCAGTACTACCGTCTTCTTGATTTAGTTTAAAGCAGTGTATAAGTTAAAACTTTATTGAACCAGTTAATCAAAGGGCTGGTTTTCAGCTGTTAGATTGTAAGAAAAGGAAGTCAAAGACGACCACATGTAAAAGAGCCCTACTTACAGTAAAGTGAAATATGCGATAACTGTAAGAACCTCTCCGAAAAGAGACAGACCGCAGCCAACGTAAGTAATGACCTCCAAGGCTGTTTGGTGCTTAGCAGAGGTCTGTAAAAATAACGTTGAGGTATCAGTTAAACAACCGACTAAGCAATTTAGTTATCCAACCTCTTATTGTCAAGGCAAATCCATATATATGCTGGATCTGAATTGAGTGCTTTACTTGTCAATTGAAATTTGGAGCTTTTTTGCTTTGTCGCAGCTTTGATATGTTTATTTCAGCATGATCGTGTGTCCTGGAGGACAAAAAGAAAGAAACCACCACCACCACCTCTATAACCTTTAAACAGAAAGGTTCGAATGATTTCGACGCAACGACTCCTGGGTGACTGTTTGGAGAAGCGTTAATTTTGGTTGAACAACTGCGAGTTTGACTTTCCTTATAATCCCATCGTTCTCCCCACTAAATTTTTTATATATTATTCTTTCAAAAGTAGGTTGAGTTTGATCGTCTGGGTGAACGTAGTCCTGAATACGACTGTTGTTGTTCACAGTGACTGACGTTTAGACAAGTTGTGCGGTAGTCATCTTCAGAGTCAAAAACGGATGGTATTTTACTCTGGTTATTGATCTGATTGGTCAATTACTTCGCGATGTTATTGGTCGTCTGTCAGTTAAGCCGTGATGTTATTGGCTATAAAGACTCGTAATCAGTAATTGGTGCGTTTCGATCCGTCTATTGTCACAGTTAAACAGTCGTCTATTGTTAGTCAAATTGTCAGTTCTCCAGTCGTTCTCTCGTAGTTAGTTTTGCTTGATCTCGTCAATAAGTCGTTTGTACGGCGCTGGTGACTGTTGGCTACGATTCAGTGGCGTTTGCTCTAAGTTAGTGACCAGCTTTCTAAAGTAAGACGTTGATAGTAGTCTGTAGAATACGTTATACATGTCGCAGAGTCCCAGTCAATTTGATATTTCGTCTGTAAATGGTGCTCAGCAATGTGATTGACGTCACCATTCCTCGTCACTCGCTTGAAATGACTCCTGGGTTCAAACCTTTCACAGTTTTTATATTATTCTTTGCTTTCAAATTCTCAAGGGACAAATATCCCAAGATTACTTGAAAACGGTACTTGCGTAACATTTTGTGCGGAAAACATATAGTAGTAACGTGAATGAGTCGCAAACAGTTTTCAAAGGAAACAAGAAGTTTGATTAACAATGATGTCTACTCAAACTAATCAAGAAAACATTGCGCCAAAAGCTGTTAATTATCATTTTTTGTTTGTTTTCTGTAGTTCTTTTAGTGGCCAATAGACTCTTAATAATAACCATCCTAGGAAAGTTCGGATTAGACAAAATGTCAAAACTTCCGCCTCATACGTAGTAATGAATACGTTACCTCAGTAGCATCTCCTGTTTGCATAAGAACAGCAAAGTGTGTGAGATGATTACAGGTACAAATAACCTGAGATTCACTTCTGTTTACTAAAGAGCATCCTCTACTTGACCATGAGCCATTAAACTTACTCCTTAAAGGGAAATTGATAAAGTATTTTTAAGATTAGGAAACGTTTTCTGACGGTTAATTAACCTACTGATTAATGTATACAGCAGTTAATAGTTAGGGGTATCAACAATTCACAGTGTATGATCCATAGGCGTAACTTGCAATTGTCCAAAGCTTATCTGAACCTAATCTTAAGGCTACCTATACCCAACCAAAGACAACCCTACCTAAGTAGTAAACATACTTAGTACCTTAGAAAACGTTTATAAAAGACAATTGTGACATTTTTTTTTTTTTTTATGGAGCATGGCTAGTTTTTGATGACAGACATACAAACGTAACGTTTAACATCTTTTATGTTAACATAATGGGTAATGTGAACAACTTACGAGCAAATACATTGCAGTTCCAGCATAAAAGGATTAAATAACAGTTGATGAAAAATAACAGTTTTAGAAAGAACATTTTTGGAAGATTCACAACTTAAACACACAAAAATACAAACTTTATATCAAAATCCCAGAAGACACAATGGGGCGTATCCTCGACTTTTATATGCTGCAATATAAATAAATAAATAAATAAATAAATTTGTAAATCTTCACATAATTCTGATTGAATTGTTTTTTGAAATCCAAACTCAATCCTCCATGACGTAACCTCCGGTTTTCGACAAACCAAGCCATAATGGTGGAGGGCAACTGCTCTTACCACTGCACTACCGAGGTATAACCGAAAAACAAAACTGGAAACGGTAATTCTTCCATCATCTGAACAGTAATGAGTAAGGGCAGCAAGGATGGCGCAGTGGTGAGAGCACTCGCCTCCCATCAATGTGGCCCGGGTTCGAATCCTGGCGTCGACGCCTTATGTGGGTTGAGTTTGTTGTTGGTTCTCTCCCTTGCTCCGAGAGGTTTTTGTCCGGGTACTCCGGTTTCCCCCTCTCCTTAAAAAAACAACACTTTCAAATCCCAATTCAATCTGGAACGCAGGGACACGTTTCATCGGGTTCTTATAAACTCCTTAGTGCTCCGTGGGTAAAGAAATTACAATTTACAATTTAGAAGAGTACTTAATTGTGTATAAAATGTCAGTTGTCAATGCAATTACGACACAAAACCTCGCATGGCTTGGGCGAGGGTATCCCGTTAAATAATAGGCATGCGAGAAACGGGGAGAAATAGAGTAAATTGTGAAACTGGCGTGGGAATATTTTTCAACACAGGCTCTGAAATTGAAAGCAGAGACATAGGTTTCGGGCTATACTCACTCTCCTTTTGGTTCGAGTAAATTGGAACCCAGTCCCATGCGCAAAAAATGGAAGAGATGAGATATTGTACCAGAAAATATTGGACTGCTGAAATTTTTTAGGATGGGTAGTCAGAGATGCTTGGGTCTCGTGTTTATAGGATAACCAGGAAAAGAAATCAACTTACCTCATCAGTGAAAAGAATAGTAACATTTTCTGGCAACACGTCAGGTGGGTTTGGAAAAACGGAGCACGCCATTACAGACGACCAGAGCTTTGCGTTCTCCAATCTCTCTCTAAAACATCAAAACCCAAACTATCAGCCAAAAAGGGACACTTACTGCAGGTCATATCCAACTAGCGAAGTTACATGTTGTACACGAAATAAGCCTTGCTCGATCTCGTCTAGCAAACATACATAGTTTTTGAGCACTTTGCCAATAATAATCATAGTAACAATGATGATGATGATGATGATGGTGATATTTACAACTTAATATTGTTGTGGGAGAAAGCGGAATTAACAGATCAACAACATGCTTCGCCGGAGTGTAAATGAGGATCGATTTAAAAACATTGACCTTTAAAGTATGATGCTATGTATGAACATACCCATCAAGAAAGACTTGACTTTCACCCGGTAGTAAGCTAGGAATATCTTTGTATGTTATTCCAACAAGCACTGTTTCTGTTGAAGAGATTTGCATATCATTACAGGCAATAATTCAATGATATATCAAAAGAAAGTTTAAAAACCATTAACTTCATAACTGGAGATAAGAACTAATGAAGAGAGGGAGGTAATGGGCCTCCTAAAACAGGTATAATTATGGATAAAAGTCCCTAGGACGGTAATGCAATATTCAGATTTTTCTGTCATTCTGGGTTCCCTCATAAAACAGTGCATCCTTTTTGAACCCCCCCCCCTCACCTTATGCAAAATTCTGGATACACGCGTCCAGCAATGGTTATGTGGTAAGGAAGAGGGGTGGGCCTGTGTGGATAGGAAAACGCCCCAGAAATGCAAAAGTGTCCCAAGACATTTGTGCATGATCGTAGGTGTCAAACGTTTAAGTCCCAAGAGTGACCAATTCACAATTTCTCCTTAGGATATGGTTGTTGGATATGGTTGTTGGATGCCCCAAAATTAGGTTGTCTTCTTCATTCAAAATACATGATAGGAGTCATAAACCATCAGGGACTAATGATAACAGGCGACGCTGGTTTATTTCAACATACTTTACATGGCAGTGATTATTACATTGTTATTTATTTACTGAAAGCTAACCGTTTTTAAAAGAGTGCTTAACCCTAATCACGGTACTTCGGTGCTAAACCCTGTATTCAACTCTTTTCCTTGCACAACTGTCTCTTACTATAATTTCCCCACTTTTCTCTAAAATGTGCCCAATAAATTAGCATAAATTGTTCTCTCCGACGAGTATGCACTTGTGTAATAAACATAAGGTGTCCGACCTGATTTTAAGGTATCCATATAGTCACAACCCTTAGTATATCCATACATCATCAAGGGAAATGGTCATGAGGATTAATAAACTGATCGCT